GGTAAAAAAAAAGAAAAATAAAAAAAAAACAGAAAAGTAAAGAAAGATAAAGATACTGTAAACCCAACTGAATAACAGGGCTTAAATTGTCAGATAAGATCTTGTTAGGACTTTATCAGTACAACATGGTATTACTTAGGAGATTCGTTAAGCTTCTAAAACTTTTTGGATATGAGCTATTGGGATGCACATTCTCTTGGTGAAAAGGGATGGATATCCCTAACTTGTGCGATTTGTTTACTACCCAGATAGCCTTTTTCTTCCTTTTTAGGTTCCCAATACATTAAACAAAAATGTTTGATGGGTCGCAACTCACAATTATAACCAGATGTAGACCTTGTATGAAACCATGACCTCTTGGATCTGAAAAAGCTAAGCCCTAATTCATCAGGGTTGGGAAAGGTTGACAGCTGGGTCAATTAAATCTAAACCCTAAATTCAAAACCGGACCCGGTGCAGACTGAGCGACAGATACATGTGAACTGATCTAGGCAAACCAAAGTACTCAACCCAAAAAACCCACCTTAGAATAGGGTAATTAAGAAAAGCACTAGATCAGTGAGCTTTGGGCAGGTGTGGGGTCATGAAGTGATATTAACTAATGGGGCCCATCTCCTAGTGTGAAATCTGAACTACTCAGGTGACTAATCTCCATGTGATTGGTAGACTCTGTTCAGTAAGTCAAGGGTATGCAACAAATGGACGGTGGGGTGGTCTGATTCCAGGCTCACCAACTTTGATTTTGTACCATGTGGTCATTCGGTCAACTAGGACCTCTACACCTTAAGCCTGTTCTGTGGCAGTAGGACTGTAGGACAGTAGGAGTAAGTAACAGTGGGCTTAGGATTAGTTGTGAATACACTTAACAAGAAAACACTCATGATTATCGATTAAGCCTTGTTCGTTTGTGCTTTTATTGCTTTGTCGTCTGGCTGGCGTTGCCTTCTTCCTAGTAGTAGCAGAGAGTAAATAATTGATAATTTCGTGGGAATTGACCTGCGTGATATCGACGCGATTACGTTTACGTCTTAACTTCTTGCTCTTGGACGCGCTCGGCGGCTCGGCCCTCGCCCATTGGTTGTCAGGTTGGGGGAGAAAGACAAGAATGCCCTTGCTTTAATATTTTCACTAACCTTGTATTATTGCATGATGATAGACAGACAGACTCCAGAGTTCAGACTGTCGGCAAGGACAAGTCAACCAAGCTGAACCCATTGAACAGAAAATGATTTGGGCACATCCCATTTTTTATAAATGGAATACATAGCCTTATTGGTTTGATTCCATATTTATTAGGGTATGTATTTTTTGAGAAATATTTATTGGGATGAGAATGTATATATCAGTGTTCTTTTATGTTTCAGGTAAAGTTATATAATGATCATTTTATCTAAAAAAAATTATTATTAAAGTGATAATATCGTCCCATCATATTTTAATAATTTTTTATATCAATAAGAAAGTTATTTACTCAAGTCTTAGGAGGATATTATTTACCAAGGTAAATAAATCACTACGATTGTATTTGTTTTATGTGTAAATTTAATTTTACACCGACAGAAAATGTGAATCGGTTTAGTTGTTGATGAAAGTTGAGATGGATAGATTTTGAAAATTTACACCTCTTATGTTTGGCTGTTGATGTGTAAATTCTATGAAAATTTACAAAAGAGGAGGGAAGCAAAGAAAGAAGAAGAAGAAAAAGAAAAGGACGGAAGCAGAGAAAAAAGAGTTTCAGATCGCTGCAAACTGGTTTCAGTGAAGGAGAAGAGGGAACCAGCTGCAGCAACTGGTTTTAGATCGCCTGTCACTGCCGCCTTGGGATCCGATCTGCGAAGAGATAAAGAGAAGAGAGAGAGAGAGGCATTGTAAAACTACACCAATAATTTCAATGTATATCTTACATAAATTATCGGTGTAATTCGATTTTCCACCCCAAACAAACATGGCTTAAAAGAATTATTCTTTTCCATAGGATACACTAATATAAAAACATGAATATAAATTTCTTTCCTTTCCAGGAAATCCACCAACTTAACTTACCCCCATTTACCAAAAAACGAACTCGTCTATTTATTTTTCTTTATTTCCACTTATCTCTCCATTTTTACACTTTTTTTCATTGCGTACTGGTTTGAATTGTTCATTCATGAATACTTGTTACTATTTACAAAACATTATTTATATAATAGGAAATGTGGTTTTTTCTTTCTGATTGATATTTGGACACCCTTTCCAGGAAATGAGAAACAGACAAGGAAAAATAATGTAAACAGGAGAAATGAGAAATCACAGATAGATGCCCAAAATTCATAATTCATGAGAATCACATGGACAATTGGACATGGTTTTACAATTTTCTTATGATTCTCCATTCGTTTACTTTGGCATTTTCTACTGCCAAGGTTTTGTACTTTATATATTGTATTTGTACTCTTTTTAAATTGAGCTTAAAGATGAAAAGAGTTTTGTTATTTTCAGAGAGATATATCCCACTACTGGTTTAATATAATTAAGATTCTAGTTGAAGTTTTTGAACCCATTTTCACCTTGGTTTAAGTTAATGAACATTCAAATGCAATAGATGAATATAAGGGGCAAAGAAAGTCCTACAATGAGCAAAGGAAAATGCCAGAAAACAAGTACCAATATATTATCAAGTCCTCTTGATCCTTCAGTTGGGCCAGATTCCTTTAGGGGAGAAATCTACTTTGGTGCACTGAAAGACCTTGTGCTTATCCTCCTCTCTCTTGATGTGTCAGCATTAGCCATCATTCATTCAAGTCACCGGCCAATATGCCATAATTTGTCCATTTTACTTTTTTTATTAACAATTTTTTTTTTTTTGGTTGGGATTTGGATATATTCCCAACTTGACAATTTTTCTACATTTATTTTTTCTCAGCTCATGTCGAAATCCTGGTCAGGTAAGTAATCGGATGCTTGACATCCCTGGCCCCAATTAGTAGAGCCTGGGTATGGTCTATCAATTTTCCTCTTATTAATTCTGTGCATGCAATTAATCATATTCTGATTATTTGGTGGGTCTGGGTTGTCAAATTCGGGCCCCAACCCAACAAAGACCCAGAACCGATGCATATGATTGGGTCTATCGGTCTACTATATATGGACTTGGCCCAGACCCGATCTGCTGACACCCTAATTCCAAACCCGGCTGGAGACATGACCACACCATGACATCACAAGCATATCGTATTGCATTCAAAAAACAAAAGAAATAAAGAAGTAATTAACAGCTATGCTTTGCCCATTCATTGGTTAACACACCAGGTTTTGCTTGTAGATGGGTTGAGCTTAAAGTCATTAATAAAAGGAAGAAAGTGGACGATGGTTGATTAATGGGGGCCCAAAAGCAAATGGTGTGGTGTCAATGCGCCGGTGTCTTAGATATAGGACAAAGTTAGGTAGCACGGACATAATCAAATAATAGTAGTCCCGTTTAAAAAGGGCTTCACCTTTGCAATATAACTCACAAAGCCAATATTGAGCCTTATGGGCTCATCATGTCTCTTCAAAGCCAGCCCATAATAAATAACTCAAGGGGTTGATATTGATAGTTGTTTTTCACCCACTATTGCAGTATTGCCCATGACTTTTGAAGTTTCAACACTACAAAAAACGTGCAATGCAGCTATTAAGAAGGCCCATTATCTTAAATTGGGCTCCCTGATCTGTAACTTTGGGCTCTCATGTATTTAGCCCAGAGCGGTGGGGCCATGAGTACTGTTACTGTATGGTGGGTGGTGTTTGTAGATGAGGATGGGACCTCTCATGTCAATCACACTTTTTGTTTGTGAAAGAAAGATAATAAAGGAGAAACTGAGAAAGAAAAAAAGAAACCATAGGTGGAGATGAAGTTTGTTGAGGGACCGATTTTTCCTCCACAAGCCCATAACCCACAATTCCACGAAACTGTTCCACCAAATGATTTAATTTGTTTCCTTTAATAAAACTGGTGAGGTTAGTATTTTGGTATTGCAGGAGATAATATGCACCAGGGCGCTGGGAATCACAGATTTGTTATTTTTGAGAAGGCAGGAGGGTGTTTTGGTCAATTAATGGGAGTATCCCATCATTCCTTAATTTACAAGATTTTATTACTTGTTTATTCATTTTTTTCTGGTCCAAGTATATTCTCGAACCCAAAAGAACAAAAGGGGAAAATATAAAGAAACAATTAGGTCGGTTAGAGAGGGAGATTCTCGTCATATCTAGTGGGTCCCCCCTTGCGGACGATGACGTGTTGGCCACGGTTCTCTCCATCAACCCTCTCCGACCTAACGATGAATGGTCAAAGCATCATCACTCCCATTAACAACTCCGTTTCCGTTTTGATTAAAATCACATCAAATCAAAACCCCAGCAAAAAAGCACTTAAACTTTCTCTCCCGCCTTTTCCTACATTTTTGCCCTTTTCCGGCTGAGCACCCAAGGCTACTTCCGTCTTTTCGCAATCACTAATCAAGATAAAAGATCATGAATACGTATAGAGTATGGACAGTAGGTGTCACTTTCAGATAATACTTCTTTTTAGTATGACGAAAGTGCCCCGTTATTATTAAATGACTAATTTACCCTACAATATTTTAATTAATTAAATGATTAAACACTGTCACTAATTACTAGTGAGTACTAGTGATCCAATACAGACGCACACTTCCCAAATAATTATTTATTTATTTATTTATTGAAAGACAAAATTAATTATTTATTTATGGGGGAGATAAATATGCGTTATTTTCCACCACTCCTTCACCTGAGATGCCACTCAGGTGAGACCCACCTCCGCCACCGTCAGATTGATAATCATCATCACCATCTAACCGTTGCAAGAGCCAGGAGGCCCTCTAGAATCTAGATGATAATTCACTCATTTATTTGTTTAATAATTAATAATTTCTCGTTCTCTATAACGGGTTTGACGTCCCCCGTCAACACTCACTCAAGGCCAACGTCTCTCTCGTTCTCTCTATCGTCTATAAATCTTCGGTCCAGAGAAGTAGAATTCTCCCACTAGCTCACTCCATCGGGACGATTCCGGTGCAGAATTGAGAGGAAAATCGGCGAGAAGCGATGTCGGAGAAGAAGGGGGACTGTGGCAAACACGGCCATAAGAGGAAGAAGTTCATCCAGCGAATATGTGCTGGAATTCTCTTCTTCATCCTATTAATCCTGTTCGTCGTCTTCCTCGTATGGGCGATCCTTCGGCCAACCAAGCCTAAGTTCACGCTCCAAGACGTGACGGTTTTCCAGTTCAACGTCACCGGTTCGAACTTGCTCAACTCGAATATGCAGATAACCCTCTCGTCGAGGAACCCCAACGACAAGATCGGCATATACTACGACAGGCTCGATGTGTTCGCGGAGTACAGCAACCAGCAGATCACTCTCCCTACTAGATTGCCTCCGACGTACGAGGGTCACAAAGACATCAACATCTGGTCGCCGTTCGTCTACGGGTCAAACGTGCCGATTGCGCCTTATCTGGCGGCCTCGCTGTCTCAGGATCAGAACATCGGGATGGTCTTGATCAAAATCAAGGTCGATGGACGGGTCAGATGGAAGGTGGGTACTTGGATCTCAGGCAACTACCATATCCACGTCAATTGTCCGGCGTATATCACGTTTGGCAGCCGGAACACCGGTATTCAGGTCGGAACCGCCTTTAAGTATCAGCTGGTGCAACCCTGTGGGGTTGATGTCTGATGAAGGGTCGGTCAGGGAATTTACTTCCCGAATGAGGAGCCATCGCCGTTAGTATCCTTATATCTCCGTTTCTCTCTCTGGACGTCGTTAGTCTTTTTTCTTTATTTTTCCTCAATTGTGCTCTTCATCGAAACTCCACCCTGTGTAGTTATAAGAGGTAATTTAGGGCTGTAATTTGTACATTTTATTAAAGAATAAAATGAGAAGATAAAAAGGGAAGAAATTCAACGGTTGTCACAAGTTGTATTGTTTGTTATCAAAAGAATATTTCGAATATGATATTTAATTGTGAGAAATTAAATTGCTTGCTATATTGATTACTCATTGATTTCTTTGAATTTGCAGGAATGCCCCGTTGAAAATAGCTCTATTTTCTCTTTCGTTTTTTCATCTGTTTTTGCTCGAATTACATTAATTGAGGGCTGCAACGGTGAATAAACAAAAGGAGATTTTTATTTATTATTTCTTTTTAAAGGTAAATATAAACAAAAAGGGTTTGGGTGGTTAATTTTTCTTCTTGGTTGGGCCAATTAGGATGAACTCAAGAGAAGGTGGGTTTGCTTTTAGATTGAGAATTACAGAGTGGCGTAACATATGGATTTGGGTAGGGGGTAGGGAAAACTAGGGGTAGTTTTACTTGCAGCCAAAGTCCACTATGGAAAAGGAAAAGTGAGTTTGGATTGCTATATTAAGCCTCACCTACTTCAAGAGGCCTTGAATTTGAATTCATTAGTGAACTCTGAATTATTAGAAATTGGAGTGAGTTGAGTGGGAGAGGGGTATCTCTACTCTCATCCAGTGAGTCATCCCACTTACTTTTGTCATTGTCCCTATACCTGCTCTACCGCCTAACTTAATGTTGTGATGGAAGATTGGAAAGAGATGGGTGGGTTTGATTTAGAGGCAGTGATACTTCTCAAAAGGAAAAAGAAATAAAAGAAGCAATGATGTTTCTGAGTGTTAATTATTTCTAAGTATCAACCTATTGTTTGTCAATGGACAAGACATATTAGAGGAGGAATTGACAAGGTTCTAGAAAAATTCGTCTTTACCTTTTCTATTTATTTATGGGTAATTTCTAATAAAAAATTTGATGGGTAATTTGATTAGACAATTTTTTTTGTAGAATGGGTAAATAATTATTTGTTTGAACTTTGAAGAGCCAAATCCATACTTTGAAATCTTGTGATGATTCCTGTGATATGAGGAGAACAGTATTCTGTTTGTTTGTTTCTCTTGGGCCTCTTAATTCTTCCCAATGACCCAAAATGGTATTCCTGAGAGGGGCAATGGAATTGGCCTTAAGCTCGGTTGGGTTGTTCTAGTCAAAATAAGTAGGTAACAGGGATACCCAATTGTCCATTTATGGATTTTACAGTGTAAATAACGTCTCATTTGGTAACCACAAGACACAAAGTCATGTTTTAAGGATCCAAAGGTGAATGTAGGGAGCAAATCGTCGAAAGGTTTATCTGCATTTATTCTATTTTATTACTTCTATGACTTTGCCCGGTCAAAATGGATTAAAATTGAATCCATCTCCTCTATCCCAGCTTCTCAAAGTAAGGGCACGCCCCAGGAAATTGATAGTTTTGTAAGACATCCACTAAGTCTTAACTTAAGCGTAAACTCTGAGCAACGGTGTGGTTTTGTGAGTGATTGATGAGGATGGGGGATGTTTCTCTTTCTCTCATGTTTCATTCCATGGACAATATGAAAGGTACCAGTTTTTGAAGAGGCTTTCCATCTTTTCCAAGAGGCATGTGGAGGCAGTTGGTCATGGGATGCGCTGTGATGTAAGTCACCATCCATCGGCGTTTTAAATTTAATCCCATCCGCTCAGTCAATCTCACCGACTTTTGGCCAATCATATATTGAAGCAAGTTTGTTAAAAGGTGGGGAAGATGGAAAGTTAAAACGCTGGATTATCTACTATAAATCTATGATGTTTGTCTCTACTGATGATCCTGCACATGGATTGTCTCATATATTCAATGAACACAACTCACCCATGTACCAAGACTTATCATGATAGGTCTTTTTTTCTTCAAGGGTGGCGGTGGGTGGATAGGGGTAGGGCTTTTGACCCGAATTGTCCCACCAGAAATTCTGTCGAACACCTTGAAGGTTGTAAGGTAATTAATAGAACAGTCTCAAGTAGAGCTCCAAATGATTCAATTAAGGTGATCAAACTTCGGTTCATTTATAATTGGACCCAAATATGTACCCATCCCAAACCAAGCTGATAAAATTGATACGAGAGAGAGAGAGAGAGGTATGGTGGGTGGGAGCTTGCTACTGCAGAGGCATATGTCATTCCCTACTTTACTTTGTCGAACACCTTGAAGGTTGTAAGGTAATTAATAGAAGTCTCATATAGAGCTCCAAATGATTCAATTAAGGTGATCAGACTTCGATTCATTTATAATTGGACCCAAATATGTAACCATCCCAATACAGGCTGACAAAATTGGTACAGAGAGAGAGAGAGAAAGAGAGAGAGGTATGGTGGGTGGGACCTTGCTACTGCAGAGGCAGATGTCATCCCCTACTTTACTCTCTGGCTATGTGCTATTGTTGGGCTATCCATTGCAGGTGTATGATTGGGTTATCCAATGTAAGTGTAGGTTTGTTTTGATCTTATCCCAACTAACCTACATATATAAAAAAGAAGGAATCACAGTGACATTACTCATTAACTGTCCAATTGGGAAACTCCAACAAACACTGACAATGCTTTTTCTGGTGCTCTTCCAGTGGTCTGGTCTGGTACTTTGAGGTTTCATCCTGCACCCATTTGTACACTTCAACTCTGATCCATTTTTTATCCATAGAACCTTCTTGTCTCTAAGTACAATGTTGGGTTTATCGGGTATCAGGAAATGGGTCCTACCGGGGACACTGCAAGCATGGGGACAATCAGATCAGCTCATTTCTGATCTGGATCCCTGAATTTTCTATTTGGATTTGTGTGGAATGTCTAGGCAGGGTGTTGAGACCCAAACGGACCAATTGTTCCGACCATTTGGACTGTTGCTGATCAGGCTCAAAACCAGCTGGTTGGGTCTATTTCAGGTGTGAGTTGGATGGAACCTGCTATAACCATGGTTACACTTATCTCTTAAGTAACCGCCAAACCCCACGGTCAGTCAGAATCAACGATTCCTCTGTTAGTTTGGGCTCATCACAAGGGTTGGTAGGTTTGGGTGTTCATGGATCGGTTGTCTTTGATGTAAATCATGAACAGCAATATGGTTTTAACCTGATTTTTTATGGTTACAGTCAAATTCAAGCTCCTCAAAGGGATACATTGTGTTATGCGCGTTTCTGGGTTGAGCCCCTTTTGTGTAATGTTTTTTGTTGAGTAAAATTTTTGTTCATCTTTCCAAAAAAATCAAACCCCAGTAAGTTTTGGCGGAAACCCACTCCTTGGTTACCAGTTACCACTTTTATGATGATGACAGTTGATTGATTATAAGTTTTTCCGGTATCACATTTTTTCGGCATCATAGTCACATAGTTGAACCCTAATTAATTTTATAGATAAATTGTTTGTTTATTGAAGTTCATTTCAGTCTGGAATAGTGCGTTTGGACTTTATACTCTGTTTTCAGTGTAAATCTGAACCATATATAAACTGAAGTAAGCTGAAATTGGCGGTTTGGTCTGGTCTGATGTTGAAAGTTTTAAAATTGTGGTTTATGGTTTTGATCCAATTTTCTGAATTTTATCTTAAGTTATCTTTGTTTGTCATCATTAAATTTTATTAATTAAACCCATATATAATAATTTCGGTGGTATAAAAATATATATTTTAAAATGGACTAACAAATAAATTTTTTTTTTCAAGCGATGGGTAAGTAGTTCAAACAATTGAGTCAAACAGGTCAGTCGATTATTCCATAATTAAACACTAAAACTTTTAAAATATATAAAAATACAAGAACAAAAAATGGCACATCTCTAATATTCTATTCATCATTTTAAATAAAAAAGTATGACAAATAAGAAGTTTTTTTGTTAATGATGGAAATAAAATACAAAGTTTAAAACTGACACAAAAATGAAACCAATTTCATATTTGTTAGTTGGTTTAACCATTTGGGTCAAATGGATCAACCTATGATGTCATGGTTAAATAATAAAGTTTTTAAATAGAAAAAATACAAAGAATAACACCAAAAAAAAAGAAAAATTTAGACACACCTCTAATATTATATATTACCCATATTAAATAAAAAAAGTGTGATAAATAGTAATTATCTTTCTTAATGATGTAAATAGAATATACAATTTAAAATTGATCAAAAAATGAATTCATTTTCCTATCTAGATGGTGACTCAACAGTCCAAACTTTTGGACCAAATAGATCCACTAATGATGTCATAATTAAATAATAAATTTTTAAAACATAGAAACACAAAAAATACAAAAAAGTATAGAAGTTCTGTAAATAAAACATTTGAGCACATTCCTAATATTATATATTCATCGTATTAAATAATAGTAAGTATGAAAAAATAATATTTGTTTTTGCTAATACTTAATAGTGAAAATGGAATACAATAAAATTGACCCAAAATTAAACCAAATTTTCTATCTATGCAAGTGGTGGGGCAATAGTTCAACCATCTAGGTCAATTGGGTCATCTTATGATGTCACATAATTAAATAATAAAGATTAAAAAAATAGAATATTAAAATCATGTATAAAATATATGGGCACATATCTAATATTATATATTCGTCATATTAAAAACATAATATGATAAATAAAAATTAGTCTTATTAATGATGGCAATTGGATACAAATATCAAGAAAAAAAGAAAGTTAGGTCATGCTTGGTTAGCTACTCTAGGCATCATTTTTTTTTTATTTTTTACTCATTCTGGGCAAAAATGGGAAGAATGAATAATATTAGAGAGTTTGGTTACAAAACTCTTGCCATGGGCCCCATTCTTTTCAGAATGAAAAATCTGCCCATATCATAAAATTTGAGATAGCCATGAAAAATAATCATGCCCCATCTTTTTATTTTCATTCTTTAAAGAAAGTCTATGCTAGTGATCATAAACCGCCAACCTAGGTCTACAAAACCACCACCATAAAAGTCTATTGGCAAATTGCCATGGAAACTTACCATTCATCCACTGGTAAAATCTAGGCCGATGATTTTGGAGACCTAGGTCAGTGGTTTATGCCCGCTAACACTTTTTTTTAAGAACGAAAATGAGCAACATAAGGGACTTTCTAGGAATGTTTTCTCATTTTTTAGGAAAAAAGTGGTTGGTTCATGGCAATGTTTTC